CGTAGCGTAATACCCTCTAGCTCCATCCAGGTAGTTGCAAATGGCAAGATTTCATTCTTTTGATTGCTGAGTAATACTTCATTATATATATATATATATATATACCACATCTTCTTTATCCATTTATTCATCGATGGACATTTGGGCTCTTTCTATACTTTAGCTATTGTTGATAGTGCTGTTATAAACATTCGGATGCATGTGTTCCTTCGGAACAGCATACCTGTATCCCTTGGATAAATACCTAGTAGTGCAATTGCTGGATCGTAGGGTAGTCCTATTTTTAGGTTTTTGAGGAACCTCCATACTTTTTTCCAGAGTGGCTGCACTAGTTTTCATTCCCACCAGCAGTGCAAAAGAGATCCTCTTTCTCCACATCCTCGCCAACATCTGTTGTTGCCTGAGTTGTTAATGTTAGCCATTCTGACAGGTGTCAGGTAGTATTTCATTGTGGTTTTTATTTGTATTTCCCTGATGATGAGTGATGTTGAGCATTTTTTAATGTGTCAGTTGGCCATCTGGATGTCTTCTTTGGAGAAGTGTCTATTCATGTCTTTTGCCCATTTCTTCACTGGATGGTTTGTTTTTTGGGTGTTGAGTTTGATAAGTTCTTTATAGATTTTGGATACTAACCCTTTATCTGACATGTCATTTGCAAATATCTTCTCCTATTCTGTTGGTTTCCTTTTATTTTTGCTGATGGTTTCCTTCACTGTGCAGAAGCTTTTTATTTTGGTGAGGTCCCAGTAGTTCATTTTTGCTTTTGTTTCCCTTGCCTCTGGAGACGTGTTGAGTAAGAAGTGGCTGTGGGAAAGATCAAAGAGGTTTTTGCCTGCTTTCTCCTCAAGGATTTTGATGGCTTCCTGTTTTACATTTAGGTCTTTCATCCATTTTGAGTTTATTTTTGTGTATGGTGTAAGAAAGTGGTCCAGGTTCATTCTTCTGCATGTTGCTGTCCAGGTTTCCCAGCACCACTTGCTGAAGAGACTGTCTTCATTCCATTGGATAGTCTTTCCTGCTTTGTCAAAGATTAGGTAGTAATACATTTGTGAGCTCATTTCTGAGTTCTCCATTCTGTTCCATTGATCTAAGTGTCTGGTTTTGTGCCACCATTATTGAAATTTAATGATAACTACTTGTAAAAACAAAAACAATAGGTTGTCAGCGGAGGGTCTTGTGTCTTAATAAAGAAATTAAAAAGAAAATCAGAAAGTGGACAACAAAGTTCAAATTGTTGGAATCATAAAGGGGTTGAAATAAATATTTGTTCCTGACTTTATCCTTTGGGCTGAAATATCAGGCTATCTTATCCAGTTTGTAGTTTTTACCTTTCACATAGTCATTCTTCTAGAGATAGTCTGGTTTATTTTCCTATAGTTTGGTCAGGTTGTTATAGGAATGTAGAAAGAGGGAAAAAGAATTAACCTAGTTTGGGTTGAGCCTACCGTGGTTGAATTGATGGAATCTAGAGCCAGGCTGTTGGGGTAAGAGAGAAAATAAAGGGAATTAACAAATGGGGAAAAAATGGAAAGAAAAGTTATTTTTGCCCAGAAATGTGAGAAGTAAGTTTTGAATCATAATAAGTGGTTAACTTATTAACTAGTAGTTAACTAGTTAATGTGTAAGAGTTAAGACAGTGGAAGGTGGTCATAAGGGTTAGGGTTAGGGTTAGGAGGTGGTTAGGGTTTGATAATAATGTATAGGTGATAGTAAGATGCAATATTTAGCCATAGATCAATTGTTGAAAATGAGTTTTAAAGATAGAATAAGCCAGGTGCTGTATCAATTGTCCACAGGTTCACAAAATCCAGAATGTGAGTAAAATTACTCGTGGGTATTAGCACATGGGACATCCAAAGCTTTGAAACTTGTGTAGGACTAATTTGGGGAATTAGTCCTACTAATTCCCCAACTAAGTGGTTGGAAGTGGATTTGATACTCCAAGTGAATTGCAGCCAGATGTCTGGTCTGTATGTTGTACGGGTATTCGAATATGGAAACCTTCTCCGTGGGTCTTTGCATGCTCTTCTGCTGTCTACTGGTAGGTTTAGTGTAATAGAATTAACCACGAATAAGGAGCTGTCCATGGAGAAGTTTGATAGAGAAGTGATTGTTGTTGCTTTTTATGAAAGGCAGATTCCATAAATGACAGGAAAATAATTCCAGAGGAAAAAAGGTCAAAGAACACAAAATCAAAATTAAAATAAAAGATGTAAGCAGAAATGGGTATAGGATCTAAGAGATTATAGGTCCTAAATTAGGCATCTTTCCTTTTTATATTATCAACTAAGGGAAATTGGTTTGATTAATCTGTTTTAGATCGCTTATAGTCAACTTCACTACCATGTGTTTTTTTCAACCATACCAGGGGCTTTTATTTCAAGCAATGTCACTTTAATGGTCTGATGGTCTGATGAAGACTGTATTTCCCTAGATAAATAAAAATAAAACTTTTATATATAAAATATTGAATTCAATTTTACAAATGGCCCTATCCACTCTGTCTAAATTTGAGCTCCATACTATTAAATGTTCATGACACATGCACTCACTTATGTTTCCCAAATATATAGCACCATGTCTGCGCATCATGTGTTTTTATAAACACTTTATTTAAAGAAGAAAGGAACACGTCATTATTGCTAGCCAGGCATTATGCTAATACCAGATTTCATTTTCACAAATATGTGATAATACATTTGTGTTATTGAGATGATTTTTTTGTTTCTTTATTTCATACAAAGTATGTATGTGTTTTTTTTTTTTATTTATGAAATAAATACATTTTACTGCCTAACTCAGGAACTGGTTACCCTGCAATCTTATAAATGCAAGCTTTGATGCCTTGCCACTGGAAGACAATATGACTTGCCCCAAAGTTGTCCTCTCTCCTTTTAGGATTATTGATTTCCTTTGGATTTCTGAAGGAACTTTATTTTGCTTTCAGTATATGCCAATCTCCAGGTGTTACTCTTCCAGCTAGTTTGATTTCCTTCCATTTCACATGGTTAGAGGTTTTCAAATTTTTGTTCTTAAAAGAAGAATCAGAGATAAACACATTTGAGTAACTTCCATCACCAACTCAGTAAACTCCCCCTTCCAGTACCACCATTATATACTGATTATAGAATGAAGGTACCCTTAAAGTAGTTACCAATATTTGTGAAAATAGTTGATGCCTTGATCCTTGCAGCTTCACAGGTTTAGACGAAAAGAAGAATACAAGAAGGAGCTAGGATAATTAATAATTTGCCAAATGGAAGCTTATATTATAGACAATGAGAAAAAATAATAATGTATGTGAGTAATTTTTATATCTCTCCTGAGTAATGCCACAAACTAATTCATTGAGAAAAAGAAAGGAAGACCTATGTATTGGTATTTATACCTAGCCCAGATGCATATATCAAGAATTCTTCATCAAAACACGATAGATGTTCACCTTTCCATTAAGATCCTTGTTTTACAGATTTATTGTGAAAGTGTTCATACATATTCATATATTTAGAAAACAGTATAATGGATCCATATGTGTCCTTCATCTAAGTTACAGAAGTGTCAGCCTCTGACTAATCACCATTGTTTTGTACACCCAGTCTCATCTGCCTTACCATTATTTAAGGGAAAATGAAATGCAGTATACTGAGTCATGTCTTGAGCCAAACTAACCCATTTCAACCTCATACTGTTCTCTTCCTCTTCCACCTCATAACCCCCCATGATTGTCTCTGTCTTTCATCTTATTTTTTCTCTGTTAGTGTTGCTGCCCTAATGGTTTAATTTAGCAAGAGGACAGATTCAAAGTCAGCACCACATCCAGCTCAGAGAGAAGAAACAGAACAGTGATGCTTCCTGAACTGCCCTTTTTTGCTGTCATCAATGGCTAAGTATGCTGGCTCCATAATGTCTGTGGGTGAGGTCCTGGTGCATGTGAGGACCACTTTTCCTATGCACTGGCTGTGCGTGTGTCAGTTCCTTTCTAGACAGTTCCTGGTTGGGCACCATAGTCTTCCAAAAGTGATGATCCCCTTGAACCATGGCCCTGGCATGAAGCATCTGGCTGGTTCTCCTACAGCCTGCATTTTGGAGGCCAACATCACATTCTCCACATGAAGGTCAAGAAATTTTTTTCTGTCTCAAACCCTCTAAGTGCTTACCTACACAGACCAGGGTGCTTTCCTTGAGGATCAGCTTTTTGTCTCAAAGGACTGCTACTATCACAGTTATGTGGAAGGGGACCCAGAATCCTTGGTTGCCCTCAGTACCTGTTTTTGGGGCTTTCAAGGAGTGTTACAAATAACATTGCTCATGAAATCAAGCCCAAAAGACTTTCTACCACATTTGAACATCTGATGTATAACAGTGAGGAAACACATCCCGCTCATGAGATGTGCATTAACAAATGAAGAAATAGCACAACAATGGAAGTTTCTAGAGAGTGACAGTTCCACTTTGATGCAGAGTGGGTATAAAGATTGGTAGGCCCACAAGTGGCTTCCTGAACTGACCATCATGATAGACCACAATCAATATGTTTCTGAGGAAAGTAATACCTCAAATGTGCCAAAGACAATGTGCCTTGCTATCAGTTATGTAAATCAATTTTTTAAATCACTGGATATTGATGTGATTTTCATAGGAGTTGAGATATGAGCTGGACAAAAACTCCTTCTGATTAATAGCATTAAAGCTCTCCTAGGAGTATTTTGCAAATGGAAGAACGGTGACTTTAGGACCCGCTTGCCTCCTGATCTTGCACTTATTTTTGTAAAGAAAGCCTATGGTGTTGATCTGGGCTTGACCCATGTGGGAACAATATATAATATGCACTTGAATTGTGGAGTCGTTGGTTTCATACAAGAAAAGTTGTATGATTTTGCATTTATACTGTCGCTTGAGATAGACCATTCTCTAGGTATGCTGCATGATGATAAAACTTGTAAATGTGGGAATCAGGGGTGCATAATGTTTTCAAGGACAGTGACAACAACTAAATTCAGCAACTGCAGCTATGCTGCCTATTGGCACAACATGACAAGAACAGAATGCACACGCCACCAAATGCAGACACAATCTTCCAGTATACATATTGTGGGAACAGTGTGGTTGAAGATGGAGAAGACTGTGACTGTGGCTCCTGAAATCTGTGTACAAAAGATCCATGCTGTCAGTCAAACTGTACTCTGAGTCCTGGGGCTACTTGGGCTCTTGGGCTTTGTTGCACAGATTACATGGTCATGCCATCAGGTGACGTGTGTAGAGAACGGGAAAATGAATGTGGCCTTCCCGAGTGGAGAGATGGGAACACTAATCAGTGTCCAGAAGGTGTGTAGATGCAAGATGGAGCCGAATGCACAGGTGGTGGTTACTGCAGAGGTGCAGTATCTATGATGAACAGTGTAGAGAAAATTTTGGCAAAGAGGCTGTAAGATAATGAACATCCAAGGTGACGTTTTCAGTAACTGTGGTACAAAAGGTTCTACCTATGTACAGTGTAACATATCAGATATCCTGTGTGGGAGTATTCAGTGTGAGAATGTGACAGAAACTTCTCTTCTGAGTGATCATTCTAGCGTACATTGGACCCACCCTGATGGTGTCACCTGCTGGGGTACAGACTACCATACAGGGATGACAATACCTCATATGGGTGCCATGATAGATGGTACAGAGTGTGGTAAAGAGCATATGTGCATCCAAAGGAAGTACGTCCACATGTCGTATATGCCAAGAACTTATACACCCAACACCTGCAGTATGAATGGGGTCTGCAACAATAGACATCACTGCCACTGCGACCATGAGTGGAACCCTCCTAAGGATGGGGTAGAAGGCTTTGGAGGTAGTAGTGGCAGTGATGTCTATTGTTGCAGACCCCATTCATATTGCAGGTGTT